AAAATGCATTAGACCAACCAAAGATATTAAGCTTTCATGCAAGTTTTATTCAAATGTCCATCCACTGATGCCAAAAAAACACGGCGTCTAGAGGCGCTTAATTCAGAACTTTTTTAAAGTGATACGCTTTTGGTGAACGATTTTGTATTCCTTTTTATTTTTTATGGAATGGCTAGGTTTCAAGGCCTTTTAATTCAGCTGTCCTTAGACGGGAAAATTCGCCACAAGCAATAATGACACATTGCAATAGTTAGCTTTGCTCCAGACACGTACGAACACGTACGGACACGTCTACTACGATTTTTTCGTTTACTTTACTTACGTTGCTGTGGAAATGCATCTTCTCTCTCGTCTGCCTTCGAACGGCAGCGCTATTAAACGATCTTCTAATACAGCATCCAAAAAGAAAGTCTTCTTGAAAAAGCGTTTATTTAGAAGCACTCCACATTTTGCTATCGGACGCTCTTTTTACCTCGATCAAAAACGTTCATTGTGGGCTTTCTGAGTTGATCGTGGTTTATTGTAAAGACTTACAGCTGTCTTTTATGCTTTACTTTAAGTGTAAATGTATTGCACTGATAGGGTTAGGCACGATTTAAATAACACAGAAGTGAATTTTAAAATCTACATAATTATTTCAAGGCAATCTTTTAATCCATTAAATACAAAAATAACTGCCAGTATTATAGCTTATCAGCATAAAGATTACCTTCCTACTTAAAATATTTCTATGTGGCTATATACGTACATATGTACGTATCACCAAATAGCTATAAAAGCACACAACCATAAGCAACTGATTATAAATTAAAGCCAAAAAGCAAATACAAAATATCTGTCCAGCAGTATGTGGTTTTATTTTATTTTTCTGGCTAGCATTGTGCTTTGTTAATTTTTGTTTGATTTTTTTCTTTGCATTCTATTTGTCAATAAAAATGTTGGCTAGTCATTTTATGACGCGCCCCCCCAATGTTGTTTACACACACACGCACAACAGCAGCAGCCCAAAATACAAATACATATTTATGCACCCATTTCACCTTTGTATTTGATTTCAACTCCCTGCAGGGAAAACGCGATCTAGTGAATCAAATTTCTAGTTCCGTACTAGATCTTTATCGCCAAAAACGAACCAGTCCAAAATCGGTGAAATGTGGTACTTTAAAAAAACTATTTTATTTCACTTTTTTCATTGGAAATCTATATGTAGAAACGTACATTTCTTGTATTCATTTAAACAAATTTAATTTCAAATTAAAAACGCATTTCGCAGTGGGGGGCAATTGAAACTTCCTAGGACATCGCCATGTTAAATTCGCCAGTTGGTTGCATGCAAAAGAGATTTACCGGGAACAGTACTGGGTCTAAATGTACTAGAAGCGCACCAGTTCAGAAATAGAGATTTTCTCCACAGGGCTCACAGAGTAGCACGTCGTGCTGCAGCTATTTACTTTTAAACATTTTCAAATCCATATGTACTAATGTACCTACTAGATACAAAATACATACTACATACGTATGAACATGAATACATATATATTTATATAGTATATACATATGTTTGTATTGATTGATAAAGATTCGGTTTGATTACCCCACTTGGCGCTCACTTGCGTGCGCGTACTCTCCAACTCAGCGAGATGCTTTTAGCGCACCTACCAGTGTTGCCGATTTGAGCTTTTTCTACCACAAGAGGTAGGATTTTATTTTTTTTTTGCTTGATAGGTTGGTAGTTTGACAGGATGGACTTTTGTAGGGCACTGTACCGATCTAGGGGCGCGTCAAAGGGACCCCGGGTAGACCAAAAGCCGGAAACGGCAACAGACCTTATACTTTCCCCTAGTTCCCCACGTAGGTCCGCGAGTGGGTGTGTCTAAATCTTTAATAAAAGATAGAACTACCTAAAAAGACGAATGGGTTCATTTGACCCTGTTAGCAGACATGCATATTAGTTTTTTGCCAATTAAAACCAGAACAGCAAAATTAAAATTTAATTTTTATGTTATTTTTGGGACGAATAAAAATTTTTAATTATAAGTTTTTTTCTACTAAAATTAATTTTAAAGTAGTTGGGTCAAAACCCCTTTCCGTCTTTCAAGGTATGCCGATTTTCCAATCTTTCTAGTGCTAATGAACCTCCCTTAATTCGCAAAGACTTAAAAGATTAGAGTGTAAATAAATAGAAGTACATAGTAGCATAAAACGCAAAGCTTCACTTTTGGTAGGTTCCGAGCTCGTTTGGTAGGAAAGATAATGTTTTATGTGGCAACACGGGCACCTGTTACATACGTTTTTAGATATACATATTTATGTGTACATACATTAGTGATGCACCATCAAATTCCATGCAAAAAAATCGGTTACGGTTTTGCAACGGTATATAAAATTTGTTATGTATTAAGACCTCCGCCAACATATTTTGGAAAAACATTGAGATTTACGTTAGCTGCACCGATTTGAAAATACTTCTAAAGCTCAGTTCTTTATATATGTATCAAAATAGTTTTGAAAAATAAATTTATAAAACGTAGATACTATATTTTAAGACTTCCGCCAAGATATTTTGGAAATGTATTAAAAATTATGTGAGGTGGACCAATTTCAAAATACTTTAAAACTCTAGTTTTTAACCGACTTCCAAAAAAGGAGGAGGTTATCAGTTCGTCGGAATATTTTTTTTATTTTATTTTTATTTTTTTTTTATGTATGTTACCGCATAACTTTGGACCACGTCAACCGATTTCGATAATTCTTTTTGCATCGGAAAGGTAGTAGATCAATGGATCATGAGATATATATATATATTTTTTTTTTTAATATGGGAGTTGAAGTCGGTTTTTTTCCTAAAAATTACTTGTTTATAAATAAAAGTAGTTTTTAAATTTTATTATTTTTTTTTAATTAATTCAGATGGTGTTTTTTTGGAAAACATTTTTTAAAGATAACTTTTTTTATAATAAAACCCGAGTTTGGAGGCATTTTGAAATTGGTCCATAATAAATTTTAATATTTTTTTCGAACTATTTTGGCGACAGTCTTGAAATATAATATTTTTGTTATATCGTTGGAAAAACTGCAACTTTTTTTTTGTGAGGCACCCTAATGTACATATGTATGTATATATTTATGCACAAATATCTTGTTATTTATTCTCCCCCGCCACCTTCGTGTATCACTGCGCATCGCGTTTAGTTGTAGACTTTGGACGTTGTTCTACTGAACTTTGTACTGAAACAGACAATGAAAAAAGGCAAAAAAATAAAAGAAATCAAAATCAAACAAAAGCAAAACACACATGTTTTTATGTTTATTGGCTTGTCTGTTTTGAATTTTATTAATTTACGCGAAATGTTGTTCAACGAGTTTTGCAAAAACAACAAAAAAAAACCACAATGAGCGAATTATGTGATAAGCGGTAATTTTGTATAGGTTGAAATACACAAAAAAAAAACAAAACAAAGCATCGAAATGGAGAATGTTAACTAAATAAACTTGCTCTTGAAAATTTGTTGACATTTTATGTATGAAAATCATCACCCATCGAAGTACGGTTAACCGGAAAAAAAATTTTATAAAAATAAAAATGATTTTCTTTGCTCAGCTCACTTGTTCGACTTCAATAACTTTTCAATTGTGTAGCGCAGACGCATTTCAATGAATTGTGCAACAACAAATATGTATGCAATTTTTAAACGACTTAAGAAATATTAACGCAAAAATTTAAAAAAAAAAAACATCAATATGCAGTATGCAGAGTGTACTATTCGGTTAGTCGAATAGTCGATTAGCAACTTTATTTTCAGTTGATAGTCGAAATGGAAAGAATACGATTAATTGTTCGAATCCGACTAACGGTTCATTTTCGACTAACCACTCACCTTTGAAATTATTCGAATACAGTTGTTCACAGTAAAATTATTATTTTAGTACAATTGGGGTTTGTCAATAAGCATAAGTATTCAAAAACATTTGAAAACAATGCAAATAGGTATATTCCTATATTCCTCGGACTATAAATATAAACTATAAAGCTATAAAAATAAAAATAAAAATCCGGTCAGAGCGAGAAACTAACACTGAAAAGTATGCGATCGCTTTCTAGTAAAAATGGTAACTTTTGACAACTTCAACATAACCTCCAAATTTTCCCTCTTCTGATAGGGATGCTACCCAGTCGGCGTGAAAATAAGCGCTTCTAAAACACATCTTTCTGGCGGGCCTTTTCTTCTTTATTAAAAGTTTTTCAAATAGCCCAGTCCTTCCAAAGTGGACGGGAAGTCAAATAAAGCAGAAACCGCAGTAATCGCATCGATACATGTCCGGGGCAGAGTTAACGATATGCGATATCAGAAAGTGTGCCACTCTGGACATTCCATACGACAAAAGAAAAGAAATACGGAATCGAGCATGAAAGGCTTACCGCTTAAAAATATTAGAAAAAAGCGCTCCTAGAAGGTCTCTTCTTACCGAATTTTGATGACTGGGTTGTACCACAGTACAACATTCAAAAAGTGATGGAAATGAAACCAATTGCATTCATTTAGGGGGTCAACACCTACAAATCTGTTAAAGTTGGTTACCATTTTTTAATATCGATTTCAAGCTGTAGATGAAAAATATTAAATATATATATTTTTTTAATTTTTAGAAAAGTTTTAGCAATTTGAAATCACTTACCTAACTTAAAAAAATAAAATAATATTGTAGCTTTGGATAACATTTTTTGGTGCTACAACTTAAAATCGATGCATAAAAGAAGTGGTAACCAACTTTTACAAATCGTTTGATACTTTTTCACCAATCTGACCAGCTTTATCGAATGCAGCTGGTCCGATTCCCATTGTCTGCAACTATTTGAAATTTGTTGTACTGTATTATAAAATATTTTATTCAATTGAATTCATTTCGTTTCTTCCGTTTTCATTTCATTCTGCTTCATTTGGTTTCATTTCATTTCGTTTATTTCCAATTTAATCTCTTCCATTTCTCCCTTCTCGCAGATGTGCCTGATCAGTGGGCGCCAATACACCTATGCTCAGCTGCGCGACTGTAGTGCTGCCTTGGCCGTACGTCTACAGACCCGATTTAAGCTTGCAGCTGGTTCAACGATTGCGATTTGCTTGCCAAACTTGCCGGAATACCCGATTGCTGCGTTAGGCGCTGTGGAAGCAGGTCTAACGGTGACTACAGTGAATCCCATCTACACAGCTGGTGAGTGAAAAATGCCGCCCGATTCTTTAACTAAAAACTTAAAGTAAGAAATCTTACAAAATAGGTAGGCTATAAAGCAATACGATTCCTGCTATATAGCACACCGTCCTCTTTCTAAACTTTTTCATTAATATGTACTATATATGTATATGTGTGTAGTTCCACGATTTGATATGTCTGACTGAGCAGACTAATCAATGTGAAATTGATGCGCAAAATATATTTGTAGTAAAATTATACATATGTACGTATGTACATATATTTACATAACTGCAGATACTGATCGATAGACTCAGCACACATTGCACGCGCTGCTCCAACTCATGCTTCTCAAAAGTTTTCCATTGCAACTGCTTTTGCTCCACCTCAGTTTGGGTCGCGTAATCGCCTGGTTGTTTCTCTCCTTTATTTAATTACATATGTATATGTTAATTATTATATCTCCGATAAGTTCATTGTACGCCCTTCACGGTTACAGCGAATGCATGGGAACACATCATACGCCAATTGAATCTGTGAAATATGGCACAGTGTGCTTGAAAAGCGGGTCAACTTAGCCTTTGTTTATTTAACATTAAAACACTTGGCGCTCTGAAAGCTTAACACCTTTAAGTAAGTTTACGTGAGTAAAGTGTAACAGGAGCTGCTTCGTTGCGGCATCCAGTTTGTCCAATGCCTAGTTCGACGATCGTTTCGGCCATGCCCGTTTGCGATAGTTAGCACGGCAGCTGTCTAGGCCCAGTCAGCTGCCAGCTACTCTGATTTCGAGAGACCACAATTTAAAGAAACAACATCACACTACTATTTATTCGGAATCCTTAACCCTTTTATACTCGCCTATTGAATCATCAAATTCCCCATAATCTAACCCAGCCTGAACCTGAGACTTCTTTCTTTCTGACACTATCTGGAGTAAAGTTTAAAGATAGCGAGCTCGAAAGTAATTTTGCTCAACCTTTCGGTTATAACTGTCGCAAGCGCTACTCCAATTCCACTTTACAACTTTAGAGGTCCGAGCACGTGCACTTTAGATTTAGTGAGCCACAGTAATTTTAATCAATTCTTATTTCCGTACTTCTACTTATCCCCTCACAGAGGAAATTGGCCGCCAGTTACAGCTCAGCGATACCAAGTTCGTTGTGGGCACCACTCTTGGCTATGGTGTCATCCGGGAAGCTTGTCAATGGGCAAAGAAGGACCTTCCCATCGCTGTGATACGCTTCCAGCCCGACGAAGAACTTCCCGCCGGCGCTATTGATTTCTTTGAGCTCATCAAGCCGCAAGGTGTGGACTACACGCAATTGAAGGACTACAACGTGGATCCCAACAGCATGGTCTTTCTGCCCTTCTCATCGGGCACCACCGGCCTACCGAAAGCTGTACAACTCACACACAACAATATCACCGTTAACGGCGACCAACTGGAAATGGGCCTAAAGCTACGAGAATCCGGCAGACAGGAGGTGCTGCCAGGCATACTGCCGTTCTTCCACATCTACGGTCTCAACGTGATTATGCTCTCGAAGCTGGCGATGGGCGCCAAGCTGATAACAATGCCGCAATTTAGGCCAGAAGACCTGATCAAGGTGTTGTACGAGTACAGAGCGACGATCTTAAACGTCGTACCGCCAATGGGTAGGTTTGTGCAAACGAGGCTGTAAATTTTAGGCGCAACTGCTCATCTATCCAAATCATTTCTTTTAGCGCTCTTCATGATTAACCATCCGAAGCTGACGCCTGAGATTGCACCCGAGCTGAGATATGTGCTGATTGGCGCAGCGCCAATTTCTGAAAGCGATATCGAGCGCTTCCTGAAAAAGTAAGTACCCTAAGTTACTGATTACTCATTATTTTCTTTACGAAACCCCTGTACTCCTTCAGATTCCCACAGAAGAAACTCTTACAAGGCTTCGGCATGACCGAGACCTCCCCGGTAGCCTTGATGGTGCCAACTAACAACGACCACATCGCCTCCGCTGGCGTTCCGGCACCCAGCACCGAGGCTAAAATCGTCGCAACCGATGGCAAGAGTCAGAAGGGGCTGGGTCCCAACACTACCGGCGAGCTTTGTGTGCGTGGCCCGCAAGTAATGAAGGGCTATCTGAACAACGACGAGGCCAACGCAGACATTTTCTTCGCCGACGGTTGGCTGCGAACTGGCGATATCGGCCACTACGACGACGACGGCTACTTCTACATAACCGATCGCATTAAGGAGTTGATCAAAGTGAAGGGCTTCCAAGTTCCACCCGCCGAATTGGAGGGCCTACTGCGTGAGCACCCGAGTATCTTAGAGGCAGCGGTCATTCCAGTACCCGACGAGGTGGCCGGTGAGCTTCCGCGCGCTGTTGTGGTGCTGCGCGAGGGCGTTCAGGCCACCGTGGAGGACATCTACGACTATGTTGCTGAGCGGGTGGCGGAGTATAAAAAATTGGATGGTGGCGTTGTGTTCGTTCCTGAAATACCCAAGAATCCAACGGGAAAGATAATGCGAAAAGAACTAAAGATGCGATACGCAAGCTAAGGACTATTAAGTAAGGAGACATTTGTATTTGTTATTTTATAGCTCAGTCGTAAGTTAAGAAGAAAGTTCCCTTATACTAAGTTCCCATGACACATAATTCGGTCTCCTATTTGTAATTGGCTCTCATTCTCAATTACGTAATTCACCATTCAAAATTTCGAGAGCGAATTACCTCATTTGTAGGTAATTCAGATCCAATTACCATGCGAATTACGAACAAATCGCTGCCGTCTCTAATTTTAATTGGAAATTTATCGAACTCAGCTGTCAGAGCAAGAGAGAATGGAACAAATCAAAACAGAGAAAAGAAGGAAATGAAGGAAAAGCCCAATGAATTGAATTGTCAAATCGAATTTGGAATGAGTCGTGTGAACGGGGTAATTCTTCAGAAGCGAACAACGTAATTGGCAGTGCCCGTGGGGACATAGTATTAAAATTTGCGAACCAAATTTCTATTTAAATTTCTTCAGAA